AACCCTACCAACCAATCCAAGGTCTGTAGAAATAAATTAAGAAATACTGATCTAATAGAATATTTACAATGTGTATAAACCATGATCATCTGAAAGTGTGAAATAATTGACAAAAACCTTTAAATATCTTAATTACTTGGAAAATAACCGTCTGCCAATTTGGATATAATAATAACGTGAGAATGAAAGAAAAAGGAAAAGGAAATTGGTAACAAAAACCAGTTAAAATCTAGTACAAATGTGAAAATCCTATAGAAGTCCAGTAACATGGTTTCTTTCATTCATTGTCATTTTAAAGCTATTACCTACTTAAATCATAAAAATGTCCCAAAAGGATTTGTGCAACTCTTTTCAGTTTGTGGTACTGGAATGAGAAATGAAGCATAATAAAAAGATCATCATAAGCCTCTCACTCATAAGCTGAAAGAGATTTTAGACCTAAAAGTATGTTTTTCCACATCATTTACTGAATGATTTCAACAAAAGAAAGTATTGTTGAAAGAAAGCATAATACTATTGGAAATATTGTCTAATGACTAGAACCCCTGAATACTTTTCTTTCTTCAGAGCAGGAGCCTAAGAATAATATTCTATGGCTTGGGCTTCTGACATTTATTTATTAATATAGTCAAAAAACATTTCTGAGCACCTACTGTGCTATACCCTGAAACACCATGTTCTCGATGCTCTGAGATGTTGTAAATCATGTCTGGGAGCAAGGGGGAGGTGAGGAAGGGCTGCTTTAACAATATCTTTCTAGAACATTGTGTAAAAGTTGTTTTATGTTTTATGTCAGTTGAATCAGGTACCCACATATTAAAGGTACTTACACTTTTAAAACACCTTGTAGGGAAGGAGAGTAAAATAAGATATCCTTTGAAATGTGGTTATGCAACTCATATTTTATTTGTTCTTAAATTCCTATTTTAGAGAACTAGATTTTCTTCAAGATAGACAAGCTACATGTTAATTAAAACACATCCCTTAAAGGTATTTTATAGGCCGGGCGCGGTGGCTCACGCCTGTAATCCTAGCACCCTGGGAGGCTGAGGCAGACAGATAATTTGAGCTCAGGAGTTCGAGACCAGCCTGAGCAAGAGCGAGACCCCGTCTCTACTAAAAATAGAAAGAAATTGGCCAAACAACTAAAAATAGAAAA